GACATATGGTGTTGATTATGAGGAAACTTTCAGTCTTATTGCTAAAATTTCCTCTGTTCGCATCTTAATTTCTTTGGTTGCTAATCTTAATTGGCCCTTGTTTTAGATAGACGTCAAAAATACCTTCCTACATGGTGACTTGGTTGAAGAGGTATACATAGAACAACCACTTGGGTTTACTGCTCAGGGGGAGTATGGTAAGAGTGTATGTCAGTTAAAGAAATCTTTACATGGTTTGAAGCAATCACCGAGAACATGGTTTGGTAAGTTTTCTGATGCAGTTTTAGGGTTTTGTCTTCTTCGACGTCAGACAGATCATTCTGTGTTTCATAGACAGACAGATGTTGAATATGTTCTATTGGTGGTCTATATAAATGATATTGTGATTACTGAAAACAATTCTGAGAGAATTGCCAAGTTAAAAATATTTTTGTAGGATTGATTTCATGCTAAAGATTTGAAAAAACTCAGATATTTCTTGGGTATTAAGGTGACTTGATCTAAACGGGGTATTTGTTTATCCCAGAGAAAATATGTACTTGACATGTTAGAGAAAGCAGGTTTGTTGGGTGGTAGACCTATTGATGTTCTTATGGATCCGAATCAAAAAATTTTGATAGATGATAGTGCACTGTTTGAGAATCCGGATCGGTATCGCAGATTGGTTGGAAAGCTCAATTATCTCACTATTACTCGACCGGATATTTCCTATGCAGTCAGTATAGTAAGTCAGTTCATGGGGTGTCCTAGAGTACTACATTGGAAGACACTTACTCGTATTATGTGATATCTCAAACGTACTCATAGACTTGGACTGTTATATCAAACTAATGGACATCTTAGAGTGGAAAGTTTCTCAAATGCTGATTTGGCTAGCTTTCCTTCTAATCGGAGATCAACCATTGGTTATTGTACTTTCTTAGGAGGTAACGTCTCATGGAAAAGTAAGAAACAATCCGTGGTAGCAAGATCCAGTGCTAAGACTGAATATATGGCAATAACACATACGATGAGTGAGTTGACTTGGCTACTATACTACCTCCAAGAAATTGGATTTCTAGTTCAACTTCCTTTACAGTTGTTCTGTGACAGCCAGACAGCTATCCATATCGCTGTCAATCTAGTGTTTCACAAGAGAACCAAACATATTGAGGTTGATTGTCACTTTATTCGAGACAAGATAGTAGCTGGAGAGATTACAAATCCTTTTGTGAAATCTGAAGATCAGCTTGCAGATATATTTACCAAAGCATTGAGTCGTACACGTCTTACAGCGATTTGTTTTAAACTTGGATTATATAATATATATAGTCCAACTTGAGGGAGAGTGTTAAGAATATTAGGGTAATATATATAAATTGTTAGTATTAAAAAGGTGTATGTGTAATTCTTATTATTGTGAGTTAACTATAAATATAAGTGTTGAATGAGAGCTAGGTTAAGTTTTAACCTCTCACTTTCTCTCTAATATTGTGTTATGTTAATTCACTCAACTTAACAGTTCATATGCAGCAATTAACCACCACTCAACGCCACACCTAGATTTTATTCGAATAGAATTGTTTAACCACCTACACTCAAATCTTTTACAGAAATAGTCTTCTCATATCACAGTAGTATACGTCTTGACCTCCCAACAAAAAGCAAAAAAATTAAATCCTTAAACACAACATGCATACACTACTCACCAATCTTCTCTCCACAATCAACTCTAGAGACTATATTTACTCCTTTATTGTCTTGTGCCAAAGGAAATTAGGTCAAGGAAAATATTTTTAGACACCAAATAATCAAATTTGGAACCCCTTTCACCGCTAAGCTTACACGTCTTCCATCTCACTAAATGATCTCCCCATTCAGCACACTCACATGACCAAAGAAAATCCCTCATTATCTTTACCAACCTTCGGGCAACAACTATAATGGTTCTGAACATGATGCAACAATATGAAGAAATATTAGACAGATAAGCTTGAATCAAAGTAATCGGATGCAACAATATAAAGAAATATTAGACAGATAAGCTTGTATAAAAGTAATCCTTCCTTTAATGAAAAATAGGCCATTACACAACCATCCAATCTTTTGTTCACCCTCTCAATAGCAGGGTTCTAGAAACACAATGACCTCAAACTACCCGACCGGTAAACCTAAATAAGCCAAAGGCCACAGATGAACCACACAACCTGCTTGTGATGCAAATATTTCACAACCTTCCAAAATGCTTGTAACTTTTTCTCTTGAACATTTTTATGTTTTACCTAAAAAAAATTATTTATCTTTGTATTTTCACTTTCTTCTTCCTTTTTTGTGTTTACTCTCTTTTCTGCAAGCTTAATCACATTTTTAGGAACATTCGCACATTATGTATATGCGAAGATGTATGCAGATCACTTGCAAAATAGCAATCACACTTGTTTGTTTTTTTTCCCCTTTTAGCCATTTTTTTTTTTTGCTTAAAAACGTTATTTGAAACAACGATATGAATAGATATATAAAAGGATTGCGGATTAGATAAAGCTGAGCTACATTGGAAATTTTTTAGTTTTCAAGTCACATGTCTAGGGTAAGTCCGTAACATTCTATATAACTGGACTCATCTCTTGGCTCCTGGTTTATAAGATCAGCAGCTTATCATACATGTTTGTACTACCATCTCTGTCAACAAAAAATTGTCCATGTATTCTTCTTAGGATGTTTCCAATATATTGTCCATTTTAAAAAGTCTAGGGCATTTATTATCTAGTGTCCCAATATATCATCTGTTACAATTCTACAAGTTCTTCACCTTTACACAGCATGGTAACTCAAAACTAAATGATTTGTGTCTCCTAAGACTATGCAGAAAATCTGAGTAGACACTATTTAAGGACTAGAAGAAGTAAAATTAAAATTCATCGCATGGGTAACACTTGGTCATAAAGAGACTTATGACCAAAACCAGGTAACATAGGGAATTTAGCAAACAATGCTATCTAGCAAGGCTTAGCTGCTAACCACTTTTGCTCTCATGTCGCAGGCTCTAGAATCCCCTAGTCTTTCCCCTCACAGAAACTTAATCCATGGAAGTGGTGGGTCATCATGGTAATTGGAGAACAGTTGTGGATGCTTAGGTAGGTTTACTGGTTTGGTTTGTAATTTAATCATTGAGATGGGATCTGAAGGGTTTTAGGAAAAATGAGAAAAGAAGGCCATAGATGTAACTCTCCTTTTTTTGGCTTGATCTTGAAGTGTAATGATCATGTCGCCACTGAGCCATCGGCATCACCTAACAAATATCATCTACAGTGAAGGTCAGCACCTAAAGTGATGGCTGTAGTTTAGGTGCAATCAGCCTGACTTGAATTCGGAAGACACACACAGTAATCAAGGGCAAAATGTTGACACTGTAATAAATTGAGATCATGAAACACTACTAAATTTCTAAATAATTTCGAGGAACAACTTATTGTCATGAAAGTAGGAACTCTACACCTATTTTATTTCATAAATCTGGGAGCTCAGCCAAGAGATTCAAGGGCAAACTAAGATTCTATGATGATTGATGAAAGAGGAAGAATACAGACATCCTTGAAGAATATTTATCTTATTTACAGATTGATAAATGTATCACAAGCTTTGGAATGTTCTTTGAGACTCGCATCTAAATTTGCACAAGAAGAGGCTAAATCTGTACACCGTGAGGTATGTTTAAAATTGAAATGGAGCGTTACACCTGAAGAAGTCCTTTTGCTCTTAACTGTAGCCAAGGATCAAAATATCGTTTCGAAACGGTCGAAACATCCGAAACGTTTCCGTTTCCAAAGAGACCGAAACGAATCAACGATGAAATCGAAATTCTAATATTTCAATGTGTTCCATAATGTTTCAAAATATGTTGTTATATTTCAATGCATTTGCAGAATAATTTCAAAATATTTCAAGGTATTTCAAGATTTTTTGATATATTTCGACCAATATTTTAAAAAAATAATTTTTAAAATTTTTATTATTTTTCATTCTGTTTTCAAAATGGGTCAAATCATTTCCAAAACATGTCACAACGTTTCCATTTTCTAGGTGACCGAAACAATGCCCTAAAACGAAATTTTGATCCTTGACTGTAGCTTTCAACAACTTTGTATGTTCCTCCATTTTCCCCTCTCAGCTATCACCTTCCTCCCTATTTAGTTTTATAATTAATAAGTATAATAGCATAACAACAACAATAATAAAAACCATTTAGGGTACTGTTTCTTTTTTAATGGTATCTGATGCAGGCAAATTGTTCACCTTTGTATTCAACTAATCCTATCCTTTTTACAATGGCAGTCATGCTGGCAGTGACCAAACAACCAAGTTATGTGAAGATTAATGCCTCCGAGCTGCCATACTCTGTCCATTCCAACTCAATATCTGGAGCTTCATATTTAGAAAAATATGAACAAAAGGATTCAAGAAAAGGGTGTCATTGCTTCTCTGTGCTAGAGTCTCCTTCCTACCATTAGAAAGCCATTCCCAACCCAGCCATGCCCAAGGTCTATTTTAGCTGCTAAGGCATATCTGCTGAATGAAATCCCATTCCACATAATGTTAGTCTAAAAAGTTCCAAGTTTTTCTTATAGTTGTTGAAGCAGTTGTATACTTCAGATGCTGAAACTATTCTGCACCAAATCCAGATAAAAAATTCCAGGAATCAGCACAAGAAAGGTGATGTATCCAGCACAAGAGAGTAGCTGATAAAGATGCAACAAAAATTTTATTTGTTTTGATAAACAAGATATCTTTATGCGTAGTTTATTTTCAGAACTAACTCTGCATTTGTTAAATCATGATTTTAACATATGCATGCATAGATATGTTTAAGCATGTAAAGAAACATATTCAAGTGTAGCATTTAATAAGGAAACAATAATGGCATTCTATTAATCTCCATTTTCAGTATATTAACAATCAAGACAAAAAAAAAAAAAAAAGCAAACCTGCCCCAAGAACAAAGGAAATACTTAAAAAGAACAAACCTCCATCTTCTGAAGCATGTCCTTCAATTTATCACGACGCCGCCTCCTTGCATTATCATCTCCATCTCCATTTTCTTGAGTAGCTAACTTGTCGCTCTCAGCCACGAGTTCCCCATTACAGCTTTCACAATGAAAGTATTCATCCTCTGGAGAAACCAGCCGTAGTGCATCCAAAGCATTATATCTGGAAGTACAATATAAGTAAAAATTCAAAGTTTTTAAAGACACACTAATACAAATTTAAATAACAATAGCCGCAATGACAGAAACCTTTTCCCACAGTTGGGGCATACATATTCCTGAACTGTGTTCTTGTTTTCCAATTCATCTTTTAGCTTTTTCTTCATGCGGTGCAGTCTGTACCTCACCACATCGTATATCTGCAACAGATCTTACTTTTTAGATTTTTTCAAAGTTCACAAAGCTTGAACTACTAGAGATCTGATGAATTATTTAACCACATATCATTTGCATAGAGCCATCAAGGAAATTTTTTATGCACAAAGCTATTATCAGTAAAAAAATTTAAATTAAAAAGCGAAGTATGTAACCCGAAAACAACACACTACAAGATAACAAACTAAAAAGCTTACTGAATCATTTGTAGAAACAATTAGAATAAAATATAACGTACATATATCAACTGGATGGATAAACAAGTTGACATAATAAAGCCACAAGGAGCAACCTGTGAATAATCTAGACAACAGTATGAGTGGGTGTGCAGCTTAATCTTGTCATCTCCATCTCTCCCAGTATGGAGACCATCACCGGTCGCAGCTACTGCAGCACTATATACTTTTGCACCTTTTGCTGTCTGTAAGATAAACACTAAACACATCAGACTGAGATAGCTACAGCAGAGCGTAAACTTGCCGATAAAAGCCTAGAGCTGACATTTAAGAAATGCAGATTTCAACCAAGCATTTCAGTGGTGGATCACTATGATGAGCTCCATCACATGCACAAGTGAGAAACTACTATTCTTGAGCTTCATAATAACTAAGCAAAGATGTGACAAAAAAAGGTATGTTTTTAGCAATTGTAATCCTAAATGAGAGCATACCTGATGAGGATCGAAAAGGGGTTGGATAAACTTAAATTGAAGAGTTTGATTTAATTATATTGTTTTAGGGAATATTGTTTGAGTAAGAGTGGTTAGTGATTTTGGTAGAAAAAGTGTAATTAGGAAATTATTATAGAATTTTAGTAAGAGAATAATTTGAGATTTTGATTATAAAACTACTTTAAAATTTTACTAGGAGAGTAATTTTGTGCTAAGAGACCTCACCTATAAATATGGATGTAATCCCTGCTATTTTTATTAGAGGTTAAGAACATGAATTGATTATTCTATTCAGAGACCTGTGTTTCTTGACCTAATCTTTGCAAGAATTTGCTGACCTTCCCTTCGTCTCTTATTTTTTCTTCTCCTCCTCTTCCAGTTAGACATCAATTTGGTTTGAGAGAAAAACTTGCATCCATTGGTCACTTCCCCATTCGTTGCCTTAAAAGTTACTGTCCACCATCAATCATATTCTTCTTGTGCTTCTCAACAAAGAATCCTCACTCTTGTGCCCGCTGAACTCTTGCTGCGAACCCATCATCTTCATCAAATATCGAATTCTTGTGGTTATTGATTGTTGTAGGCAGCACCATTGTCATCGAGTAGTAGTCATTACCTTTGTTGTGTTGTTGCTTTGCCACTACAATATTTGTCGCCGTTAAATCATCAACTTTGGAAGCCCCTGATTGGTGTCCACTAATGTGACTAAGCAACAAAAATTCAGATCACTACTTCCATCAAGATGTTGACCAACGCAGAGTTACTTGCCAAGATTGAGGTAAGTGATGCTAAAATGGATTTATTCCAAACATCAGTGGATTCACTGCAACCATCTCCTGATTCACTCCAAGCATCAGTGGATTCAATGAAAGAAAGTCTAACCAAGCCAGTTGCTATCCTTGGGTTATGTTGCCCAACAACAATTGTTTCAACAAGGTAAATATTGATTTATCCTCCTCATCCATCAGTCATCAACAAATGGTTCAACAAGTCTTGCACTACAAGCTCTTTCACAATCACAAGCTCCATTCCGATTAAATGGTGATAAAAAAAATTGTCTAACATTGATGAGCCCAAAAGTTCTCTTCATCCTATTGTTTTTATAAGCTATTTTCAAATGGTGTTCCTCTAGGTGAAGTTGAACAAATTTTGAAAGTGGTTTCTTTAGATTGGGTGGTTGTTTTTTCACCACCAATTCTCATGCTTTCATCATCACCATCTTTTTTTATGAAACAAATTGTGAAGATTATGAAGATTCAAGATATAGAATGTCATGAAATTCAATGTAATTGGCGAATCCCATGAGGTCACAATGTATTTTTATATCTCAACTAAATCCATGGTCAAAAGCTTATCAAGATTGAAGACCGAAGCAAGAAATAGAGAAGAAGCTCAAGCTACAAAGCAATATGAAGAAGATTTCTTAGATCCTATCAAACTTAGCTAAGGTAAGATGACCTAGATACCTAGTTACTCTAGCTTGGTTAACTTAGGTTGATTAATTGGATTTAGAGTGTACATAATTAATCCATAACATGATTCATGTGATTTTTGTGTCGAAACGTTTTTGAAAAGTTATGGGTATAGTTTTTGAAAATGCGTTTTGAAATGAGGTATGAAATTGAGCTTTTTAGGTGTCACCCCTACATACTTAAAGAGTTGAAAAAGAGCCTTAGTTTTTTATGAAAACCAATGGATAGCGCTATTGGAATATTGGAAATTGGATTGGGCACGAAAAGGCAAATCCAGAAGCCAACGCTTGCTATAGCAAGCCTTGACGAGGGGCTGCAGATTGGCATTCCAGTGATCAGTGCTCGAGTGGTGCATCGCGGACAGTAGTTTCTTGAACGCCAATTAACCTCTTATTTCATATTCCTACATATAGGGGTCAACTTTTTATGACCTAATAGAGGTCTAAGGAGACACAAGAGAGGCTCTAGAGTTTAAGGGAAACAACCAAGTCAAGAGAGAACTTACCCTAGATCAAATTAAAACTAAATCCCTACATGATCTACATCTAATTCTAATGAAGATTTGAGCATGACCTGTTGAAGATCTTGTAGGCCACCAAAACCGACAATACAAAGGATTCAAAGAGACTACCCAAGGATCAAAGGAGGATTTCAAAGGAGAAGAAGAAGGATTCCAAGGATGGATCGTGGAACTCAATTCGATGCCTAGTAGAACTCAATTCGATGCCCAGTGAAACTAGTTGTCAAGACTTTTGCAATAGATTTTCGGAGTGAATATTTAAGTGAGAAAACTTCTAGCCATGGAATTGGTTGAGCTATAAGACTTCAAACTTGCAATCTAACACTTATTTCCACGTAAAAATTGTTTGTCTTGTGTGTTTGCTTGCTTTTACATACTTGTAATTTTTACTTTCCTCCATGTGTTTGATTGAATGCTTGAGAGAATCCGCTTTGGGTTGTTCACCCTTTTTCATTGTTAAAATCCACTGACGATAGGCGGAAGGGATTTTGATTTGATTAATGTTGGTGGATTGTGTTTGTGCTAAATCGAATTAATTAGGTATTTGCACACATTCATTAATTGGTCATCAAGTCCTCTTCATCGAGGGGTTAATTGAATTGATTGACTAATTAATTGATAATTACCTCATTGAAAGAATATCTTGTTCCTATGCTATCAAAATATAGGATGTACTTGACTGACGTCGATTCTCTTGGATTATTCTTTCTATTACAACTCTTTGGAGAAGAGTTTTTTTACAGCCGAGTAGAATTGATAAGGATCAAAAAAGGATTCGACAAGCTTAAATTGAAGAGTTGAATTTTAGGGAATATTTATTTGACTACGACTACGGTTTAGTGATTTAAGTAGAAGAGTTTGATTAGAAAATTAATATAAAGTTTTAGTAGTAAAGTAATTTGAGAGTTTAATTATGAAACTATCTCGGAATTTTAATAGGAGAGTAGTTTTGTTTTGGTAGGAAACGTAGCCTATAAAATATTTATTGAACACGGAACGCCTACTCAAAGAGATTATGAATATAAAATGATCATTCTTCCCTGTGGAGATTTGGGTTTCTTGACCTACTCAGAACCAAAATCTAAAATCATAAAAGCCCGCGTTCTCATGTGTCACGTTCATGAATCTTCTAACATCAAAGGGTGAACAAAAATTGATAAATCTCATAACCAAAAAGAATAATCTACTCTGCTGGCAACAGATAAAGTCAACATTGACAATCTTTATAACTAAAATTTGTAGTGAGCATAAAGAAAGAACAAGGACCAAGTCGTGTTAAGCAAAAAAGGTACAATGAAATATTGGAGTTTCAGTTTTTCAAAACTAAAGTCTTCCTACTCAAATCTCCAATCAAACAGAGGTTGAAATTGACAATAGAATCACACTACAGAAGTTAACGGTCAGAAGATTGAAATCTTAAAATACTACTGAATTCAGTTGCTTCCTGAACTCCGGCACTTAAAGTATTGTGATAATCTCCTACAATTAGCACATTTGACGGATGAGAACCACAGTGGATTGCAGCAGAGTTGACCAGAAAAAGAGACAAACTGATGGTTATAATATCCAATCCATTAAGATGAACGAACGAACTAACCTCTTTCCTATGATCCCGAGTGACTAGCTTTTCTTCTTCAAAAAATCGCAAAGTCCGGCGAAGTTGCTTTGAATGCAGCTTCAAGTCCTTTGCCAAATCTTCTTCTCTGACCCACTGCCGCCTAGTTAAGATTCAAGAGAGTAAAACTACATTGCACTCCATCCCCAACATAGCATATACACAAAAGATGTGAAAATCATAATCAAACACAAGGAGGATTTTCATATCTCTGACTTAAGACTAACAAGGATCAATTGTTATGCATCTTTGATCAATTCTTGTTATTATATATCCATGGTATGAGGCATCACTCAATACCAATAAAACCCAGGTAACTTATTCCACAAACAAGAGGCAGGTAAAAGTAGAACACAGAACTCATTTCTGGTGCTGGCTCATAATTAAATCATCATGGTAGTGTTGAATAGCATACATATTGTTAATTAGATGGCCTACAGATTTTTCAATATAACTAATCCAATTTCAAACAAAAAAACTATGCTCCATAACAGGGCGAAGTGGGATAGAATGGAATTGAAGCTCCACAAACAACCCAACTCATCCTTATGAATGTTAAATGGCTTTATGCGTGTTGGAAGCAAAATACAAACAAACACCATGACATAGATATTTCTATATTTTCTAAAACCGAGTGATTAAAAAATCCATTTCTATATCAAATCATTGACAAATAGAACAAAAGTATTATGGTATTTAAGAACAACTACATGAAACCCATTCCTTTAAGTCAAAAAGATAAATAATACTTTTCCCTTTAATTTTGACAATCATAATAGGTTAAATTTGAAATAGTAATGCCCAATATCTTTCCCTTTAATTTGCTGGGACTTTTTCAATCAGCACCAAAAACAAAGTTGAGGATCTGTCAAGTTTCGCCTCAAGAAAAATACACCACACCAGTTTCAAATAAGAAACACAATTTCTCCATCAAGGAATGCCGTTCCCATAAAATAGCTGATGTTAACACTCACATAACCAAAATTTCAACCACACATGCTCACAGTCCATAAAAAATCCAGAAAAAGTGTCATCACCTGCTAATTCACTTCTTCCTACTTCAATACAATAGTTTTAACATATTTGAACTTCTCTCTTTTCAACGTGATCTCTTTCACCTATTTATCCAATTTAGAATTTTGAATTAAAAGTGTCAATAAGATGGAACTAGTTTGTTTTCTGTCTACCCAATGGAATTGAAAGGCTTGGAGAACTTAGTCCTATCTCCCCATCAAGTGAATCAGAATTAATACAAGATGAGTTAAACTTCTGGTCAGCATATATATTTTAAATATCATGGCCACATTTACGCGAAAAATAAACATTCTAATTTTTGCATTTAGAACAAAGCTTTCAGCAAAAGGCAATTTGTTGAAACCAATTCTTTGTTGGGTTACTTTTATAAGTATTATGCTTCCAGTATACCTTTTTTTCATGGCACATGGTTGATTTAGGTGAGATCCAATATAGAGCAACCTTTTGATTCACATGTAGGATCCAGGCAGTCCGGGGGGACCACAATGGCTCCATGGGTTCCTTGTTATGCACCTGTTTTTTGTTGCTTGAGGCACTATTTTTTGGGTCAAAGAGTTTCACACAAAAAGGAGTTATAGTTGTACCAGAGCCCACCAATAACAATAGGGCGAGTTGTGTGATTCAAAGAATGGTTATAACAAAATTCTTTCACACAAAACAATAAATTACCGAACGCGATTCATCTAACAAAAGAACAAATCTCCATATGTGAACTTTGCACATAACAGTTCAGGTAAGGCAGTTCTTACTGTTGAAACAAAGATATACATGGAAAATGGAGAAACACATACCAAAACCAAGTGAACTAAAGCACCACAAGCACACTGCTCCATGAAAGTACATGGTGTGTTTCATATACCAAAAAATACAGCAATTTTCATCCTGCACTTAATTTATATTGGGAATAGTTTTAACCTGATAGCATACCCTTGAAATGATGCAGCCCCTCCCAATCCCTACACCAAACCCATGCAGCTCAGCATGTCATTAGACAAAAAACATGAATCAGTTTTTTTAATTGATAAATACTGCTGGTGTCCTTTTTCATTGATAAATTACACTTCAAGTTTCCTCAAATGAATAAAGAAAATCAAGAGACTACAATAATGTTCAACATCGCAAAACTAGTATTCTATGACTATCACTCAACTAAGGAAACACTTTGTCCCCAAGGTTCTTAGCAGCTTCATCCTTGACCATGCCCTTCCTAAAAAGATACAATTACTGATCTGCGTAGCACATAACCCACCTCAGCCATTTTCCAGTCATCTTATCCACAAAAGTGCTACAGCCTTCTCGTGAATATATTGGATAACCAATCCCAATTTACTCTAATGTGACTGGAAACTTCCACAACCTACTCTATTGTTTGTTAGCAAGGACAATTCAAGACAGCACGTATGAGATGATGCACAAACTATGACGCCAATATCACTGAGGCTAGGTCCTATTCAGGGTAAGGCATGCTCCTTTGACGGCTTTTCCTACTTCACTTCATCTGATGCCCACAGTTCATTTTTCTGTCAAGCCAATCAAACAAATTCATCTACATTTTGATGTACTCTAGGGATAAGGGAGACATAAATATCTGTCACCCTACTTTGCATCAATGTATGACAGTTCATAAAGACAAATAAAAGCATACATTATTCAAAAACTAGCACATGAACACGGAAACATGTATGCATCTGTACACTCATGCATACAAGCTGATTACTCCTCACTTTCTCTCCCTCCCTAACCCAATTGTCCTTCGAATAGAGACCTCAAAACTACACAAGGTGCTTATTAGGACTGTTGCCCATGGGATGGGAAGGCTAATACTTATAACTTGTTGCAAAGAATAAGGCGTTATGATTATCTCTCTCCTCAACGGTGTGTTGTGCGTAAGATGTGGGGTGAAAAATACTAGCCCTTTATTCCTTACTGTCCTATAACTTTATCATTGTGGCTTAAGGTTTTTAGGAAGCCAGGTTTCGTTTGAATTATCCAACGCAATTGTGTTTCCTTGGAATGTTTTAAAGGTGAAGAGAAAGGTTAATAGGCTTCAACATCGTAGGGTTGTGCTATTATGCCAATCTTTTGGGTGGTGTGGATCGAAAGAGATTAAAATTTTGAAGATAAAGTTGAGCTTGCAGAGTTGTTGTAGGAAAGAGTAAAGTTCTTGGCATTTGTTGGTTGATGTGTCCAATAAGTTCTGAGACATTCCTTTCTTGTTGACGAAGATTATTGAAAAGCTGCTTTATAATTGACAATCAAAATGAAAAGGCACAAAAGAGGACAAGAAGTCCTGGTGCAAAAACTGAAATGTTGTTTCCTCTTATGTATCGTTGTCTTCATATTATATACTTCTCTTTTTTATTTTTTGCACCAGTAGAGGACTTCTTGTCCTCTTTTGTACTTTTTTCATTATTATCAACAATAAAAAAGTTTATATTGTAATTTTATTTTTGGGTTCTCTTTCGTACACTAGTTTAATATCTTGTCCACCTATGCTTTTTTGTACATTCAACAAAATTCTTATTTTTTATCAAAAACTAATTGTGGAATTGTGTTCTTTTGTTTTTAAAAGGTAGTAAAACTTCTCCATTTCATTGCAATCACAGCATACAATATAATAGCCACATCTTAACATCGAGGGCATTTTCCAAACTTTACTAAGAGAGTGCACGAAGCATAACCAAGTGTATATGTTCAACATGCTTTCAAATTATTAGGCATTCAGGATGTTGTGGCGATAGTTAAGGAGTACCCAAGAAGTGTCCACATCAAACAAACATCAAACATAATATTTGGAACAACCAATTCAAACATGGCTAGCAGTGGAATCAACTGTAATTCTGACTGCAGGTAGTCTTATCCCCTAATATTTGAAACAACCAATCCCAAGCTCCCCAAAAATATGTTTTGTGGAGGATCAAATTCATAGGCAACCTTAAAGCATTTTAAACATGTAAATGTTACACCAAAATATTAGCTCGAGCCAAGCTTGAACATCCTCTCAAAACTCGGGCCGAGCTTGAGTATACCGAAGTTTGGAAGACTCGACTCAATTTAACCCTCCTAGCCAGATAAAATATGAACAAATAAAAAGTGATAGTGCACAAATTCAATTCAAGAAAATAGGAAGTTTTCATGTCTTTGTTTATCAAAAATTGGCTTGTGCAGCTGATGAACTCAGCTTAAAAGAGAAATAAACTAAATGTTACCCCAATATGCTCTCTTTCATAGCAATTGACAAAAACTTGGGAATTACGATTCTACATTGCCTGATTACCAAAAAGGAGGAGCAAAAAAAACAGAAAACTAAGGAAGAGAATAGAGAAGACGACTAACGAACTAACTGCACTTCTATGCTGCAACTAAACCCAAGTCCAGCAACTGTTCACTTTTCCGACTCATCAAGAATCGCTCTTTTACACGGTCAAAAACCCTTTACCCAAGAAGCAATTGCCTTAAAATTAAAATTATGTGTCACTTTTTGTTTTCTTAAGTAAAATTATGTGTCACTGAACATACTCAAAAACGCCTCTTTTAACAGTCAGTGCCCAAATTTACAATATGGTCATTCAAAAGCAATAGCATACATTGAAAGTGATATTTGAAAGTCAATATAACAGAAGAGGCGAACCTTGTGAGAGCATCAAGTACCACTACAGCAATTCCTCTATTGTCGCTCCTCCCAGTTTTGGGCTGATTATCTCCCTTCGTCGTGATGTCATCGTAAAAAGCCCTCGCCGCTAGCTTCACCAACCTATTCAAATTTTCAATACCCAACACAAAATAAAGAAATCAAGAACAACAAAAATAATAAATTAGAACACCAAGAACCAAAAATAGTCCAATTTCGCCAAATTGAATCAAGAACAAGAAAAAAAATAGGTAAATATAATCCAATCAAGATTATATCGAACTACAAAAGAAAAGGCATGTTAACGTAATCGAATCAATATTACTTACCGGTTAAATGGTTCGACGCTCATGTTTTTCGAAGTAATGTGGATATTTTCCGATCATAATCAATAAATAAAAAAATTCAAATTTTGGAACGAGTATCGACAGGGATCGAGTCCTAGAACATGCAATTCGCGGCACTGTAGCTTTCCAGCGGCACTGTAGCTTTCCGCAGAGGGAAGACCGGGCGAGACTTTGTTGCTCACTTCTACAGAGATCCCATTCAACAGAGTTTTAAGGGGTGGGGCTGGTCTGCGATTACTTATTTAAAACGTTGACGTTGTGTCATCTTTTGCACAATAAAAAAATTGGCTAATCTCAACTTGCACCTGATAATTCAAATCTAAATTTGTATTCTCAAATTTTAAAAATATTAATTTACATCTTAAGATATATAAATTACCTGTCATATATTTTACCTTTAAAAAAACTTAGATTAATTATAAATTATACCCCTCAAAATTTAAATATTTCACATTTATTATCTAAAAAGAATTTTATCTATTATTCTTTGTTAAATATATCTCGATTGTATCGTATCATAACATTTTCTTGTCGAGTCAATTATGTTGTGTCTTGTATTTCACATTTACGACAATGCATATAATATTATTTGATATTTTAAAAAATTAAAAAATATCAATTTTTTTTGTCTATAATACTTATTAAATAACTATTTTTTATCTACAATTATGTTATTCGTAAATAATTTTGATTTGATCGGACAATCAAAAAATTTGTGTCTAACTATAGACAAAAAATAGTTATTTAACGAATATTGTTGACAAAAATAAGTATTTTATAAATTTTTTTAAAATTTTGAAAATTTTTTTTATTAACCCGAGCACGCACGAATATGTTATGATACAATACAATTAAGAGCTATTTAACAAGTATTAATGGATAGAATTCTTTTTGAATTATAAATACAAAATATTTAAACTTGGAGGGTATAATTTATAACTAACCCAACTTTTTTAACGGAAAAATAGACAGAGTTAGTCTCAAGTGCACATTGATACAAATTTATATCTTTTAGTATATAAATTAATATTTTAAAACTTTGAAAATGTAAATTAAAATTTGAGTGATATTTCAAAATGTAAATTAAGATTAACCCAAAAAACTTTCTGGTCAAAAGCAAAAGATTTGCACAATAAAAAAAAAAAAAAAAATTTCAATCACGCCCCTTCTAGTTTACTATATCTTCAAGTACATCTTTTCTATTATCAAAAACATCACTAGTACCTTTCTAATTTATATTTAAATATCACTAACACCCCTTATGCCATTAAACCACCATTTCTAACCAAAAAAATACTTATATAATACTAAAAATACCCCTACATAAACCACAAACAAGTTTTTTACATAAAATTTGAGCCGATTAAGATTCATTTTTTTATATATTAAAATTTGAGCTAATTAAAATTTATTTTTTTTACATATTAAAATTTGAACCGATTAAAATTCGATTTTAGTTGATTAAATTTAATTTTTTTGACGTATTAAAATTTGAGCTCTACCTAAGTTGTCAACGCATATTAAAATTTTCTTTGAGTCGAATAAAGTTTATATTTTTTTACTTATTAAAATTTATGTCAATTAAAACTTGATTCAAGTTGATTAAAATTTATTTTTTACGTATTATAATTTGAATAGATTAAAATTTATATTTTTTTATATATCAAAATGCTGGCTGATTAAAATTCAATGCGATTTGATTAAAATTTGACTTACGCAGATTTTTAATCGACTTGAATAGAATTTTAATTATTTTTAATCAGTTTGAGTAGAATTTTAATTGGCTCAAATTTTAATAGGTAAAAAAATATAATTTTTAATCGACTAGAATTTTAATATGTAAAAAATAAATTTTAATTAGATAAAATTAAATTTTAATTGGCCTGAATTTTAATACGTAAAAAAATATATAAAATAAAGGGGGTCTCACTGAAGATATGTCTATCTAGAAAGAGTGTAAATGAAATTTTTTCTCAAATATATTATGGGCAATTTAGTAAAGTTATATTTTAGTTAACACATTTAATCTGACAGAAATGTTAGTAAAAAATCAAAAAACAGAGAAGGTGTCCTTGAAAATATAATAAACTAAAAAGGGTGTAACTGAAATTTTTCCTAAAACCCGTCTTCATCTCCCCCTCTCCCTTATTGTTTCACTTCCAATTTTCTCAATAAATCCCCTTAAACAATCTAATTTTCTCAATAAATCTCCCTTTACTAAAGCCCTATGAAGATCAAAAGTGATAATTTTTTATACTACATATTAATACATCCAACTTAAAATTAGTAGATTAAAGTTGATTAATTCTTGACTCGATTTCAAAAAAAAACATGATCTAATATACGAATAATAAATATATTAGGATAACGTCATACATGAATAATCTTAATTTGGCATAATAAACAAGCTTAATTGGTATTGTACAAATAAAATTTTTATTTTTGTCAATTTTATCAATTATTGGCATGCATTATTGTAAAATAATATTTGAAGTTTTTGTCAAAGTGACTTGCACGTAATTGTATGTATTATTGTATAATGATCTTTGAGATTTATACTTGTGATAAATATTTTTATTGTATAAGACATGACAAAATGTCACTGTCTTTTGTAACAACAGTGTTTATTGTTCTCAAGTTCACCTGGTCAAACAATAGATCAAAATTGCTAATGTGCAAAAATGTATGGATAGGGTCCTAATCAATTCAGAGTGGTGCAATTGATTTCCACATACACAAGTTCTCCACAAGTCAAGAATTGATTCAAATCGTTGCCCTATCCTAATTGATTTTGGGTTGGCATCAAATAAGGTCCCATACTAGTTCAAAATTGAAAACATGTGGATGGCGCACCAATATGAGGATGTTATTAAACGATGCTAGGAGGTGGGTGTCAAAGGATTAGACTTGTTCAAAATAAGCAAGAAGTTGAGAAAATGTAGAGGCAGTCTCAGAGATTGGAATAGGAGCCAATTTGGTACCAACAAGAAAAATCTTGGAAATTTTACAATCAAACTTGGGAAATATTTAGATGTAGGAATCTAGCAAGGCCAATGTAGCTCGAGGAGCTAAACTAATCTCACAAATTTATGATATTTGGAGGAGGGAGGAAAAGTTCTGACTGTAGAGATCAAGAATCAACTGGCTAAAGGATGGGTACCAAAATATATCATTTTTCCACATGACCACAATTCAAAGAAGACAAAGGAATCAGCTGTTGAGACTCAAATTAGAGGATGAAAGTTGGATTGAAGAGGAGGAGTACCTGAACTTGCATATCGAGCAGTATTTTCAGAATCTCTACAAAACAAGTGGACCAAAAGACATGGAGGGAACACTAGAGGTTATTCAACTAATGATTACTGAAGACATGAATCTGAGACTTTTAACACCAATCACAGATGCAAAAATTCAAAAAATTACTAAACAATTGGGCTCTCTAAAAGCTCTAGGGCCAGACGGGTACCTAGGTACCTTCTACCAAAACTATTTGGCATCTTGTGGGTCAAGATGTATGCAGAGATGTAAAGAGGTTTTTTGAAAATGATTTTATGCTAAAAGAACTAAACATGACTAACCTAGTACTGATTCCCAAAGAACCCAATCCAAAGTCCTTGACCCAATTTAGACCCATTTCACTGTGTAACTTTAGCTACAAAGTCATTTCTAAGGTGTTGTCAAATATGCTAAAACCGATATTGTCCAACCTTATCACCCCCCCCCCCAAAAAAAAAAATATGTAGGCATTGTCCCCAATAGAATGCTCTAGGATTGCATCCTTGTGGCAAATGAGGCCCTCTATTTTCTAAGAACAACGAGGAGAGGAAAGGACCAAGCAATGGCCATCAAAATAGACTTAAACAAAGCATACGATAGAGTGGAGTGGAATTTCCTAAAGAAAGCTTTGAAAAAATGGTTTCCACCATAAAATGGATCCTCAGCCAATGTATAAAAACAATCCAATTTTGAGGTGGTTGTCAATAGTGTACCACAATGTATTATCAACTGTCAAAGAGGACTAGTCAATTTGCATACATGAGATATTATATTATGAATTATGATTTTTATCCTGATATAAATTTTAATGTTTAAGCAATTATAAACTTAAGATCGTTTCAATGTCAAATGTTTATTTCAAAAGTATATATGTTTGTTTTAAAAATCTGAAACCTACCTATTTTTATATAAATTTTGTAAATCTTGTCTATGTTTGGGAGAGTTTCTCTACTGGGCTTGTTTGCTTACTCCTTCCTTATATTTTTAGATTTTTGTATTAAGAAGGATAACACTATAGGCGAGCATGTGGAGTTAGAGTTTGAAGTGGATCATGAGGTGGATCTAGCCTTCAAGGCTTAGGACTCTACTATCTCTTTTAGTTTCATTTGGTTTATGAAAAAATTGAATGTTATTAACTTTACACTAGTTGGATGGGAGAATTGGTTTGTTTAAAGGTTTTAGTTGTAACCTTGATGATGAACTTATGTTTCTTGGGATTTGTTTAGTCAGATATTGAAAGATGGATGGTTTAATTTATGTAAATGGTTTATTTTAGCTATACTCTCATGGTTTATTGGTTAATAATTAGTTACATTGTTTGTTGAAATTGGGGCATGACATTGCTCCCCTTCTTGGTCTTTCTTAGTGATCTCACATGTATAGTTGTAAGGGGAACGTATTACAACAAGTGGTGGCAAGGTTGGTCGGCTTAATACTGGTGGTGGTACAGAGGTATATTTTAATTCCATTATAATCATTCTTTTTAAATTGCTTATAACTGCTCTGGTTGCTTTTCTCAGCCATTATACCATATAACATGCCATTGCCTGATACAGTCATAAAAGTGTTGGGCTAACAATTATGGGAGACTAAATTCGAATTTATGGGCAACAACTTTGTTCAAATAATACCAAAGGTTAAATTTTTACCCAACCAACCTCTAAGAACCCTTGATTAACGAGGACTAAACTAATAAAGCCCCTTTGATTTGTTTAGAGTTTGTTATGTT